ATTTTTATTTTAGGTGCAGATGAAGTTCGTAGCAGCAGGGTTGTGGAGTCCCAGCTTGCTGACTTTCTAGTCTTCCTAAGACGCATTTTGTCTCTAAGGGTCGCCAAAAGAGTCTCCGCGTTTGTCAAGTGGATTGATCCACTGATGACGATTATCTTGTACAAATGCAACTCTGGAAATCCACGCTTTCACAACCTGCGGACGAAACTGCTGGCCTTCCATATTCTAGAAACTCTTCTCCCTGTCTGTTCAGACCCTGTTGTCATGAAACAGGTGAGAAAATAAGTGGTTTTTTTTTTGTTTTGTTTTTATCAATGCTGTGCACTTGACACTAAATGATGGATTCTGACTTAAGAGTTTATCATGTTATTTTTGTTTTCAGATTGTTGATCAATTATTTAGCCTTTTGTCCACATACATGTGGGAGGAACCTCTGGCCCTGAGGAAAAACTTAGAAAAAGAGAGAACTTTGGAGAACTCAAATAGGGTATTTAAACACACCTCTTGTCTGTTCATTGTACAAATTTTACCCTATCGTATTTGTGTCCATGCATTTTAGATTGTTTTATATGTGCTTGTGTGTCCCCCAGGACAACAGAAGTGAAGATGAATGTATTCCTATTGGTGATTTCTCTTTCGACCCTCATAAACTGATCTGTTGTTCTCTGGAGAGCGGGAATGTACTCTCTCATGGATCGGGGGGAAAAGGGTACGGTTTGGCCACCACTGCCATCACATCTGGATGTTTCATCTGGAAGGTAACAATAGAAAATACAGTCACTGGTGTCCCTTGTCTTTTATAGGGTCTGAATTCTAAAGTTTTTTGTCTCCATCTCTTAGTTTTATATCACTAAGGAGAATAGAGGAAATGAAGGGACATGTATTGGAGTGTCCCGATGGCCCATCCGGGACTACAACCATCGCACCACCACAGACATGTGGCTGTACCGGGCCTACAGCGGTAGCCTGTATCATGGAGGAGAGTTGGGCCGAGCTCTGCCCTCCTTCACCCAGGGCGACACCATCACCTGCATCCTAGACATGGAGGCCAGAACAATCTCTTTCGCCAAAAACAACAGGGTCAGTGTGTTTATGACCTTAGTTTGAATTATTTTCCTGTTACACCTACTGGTTTTAATTTGGTTCTGTGAATGATTTTGATTTTATTTGATTTTATTTGATGTTGGCAAAGTGATTCCTATTTTAGGCTGACACATTTAATGCAACAAATTCATAGTTTATTTCTGTGATTTGTCTATTTTAAATGTGCCTATATCCCTATAACTGTATTTCATAGACAAAGTTACTTTAGACTTCATATAAAAATTATGATATTGGAGGAAAAAAAATATTATAACATTGCAGTAAGCAGTCATGTGGTTTACAGGCGAGCAGAGTTTTGGACATCATAGATCACATGCTTTTGACAGATATTAATTAATCTCCAATACAATGCTGAAAACCACGTGACTGCTTACTCCAGTATATTATGTTGTTGTTTTTCTCCAATATCATAATTTTATATGAATCCCAAATCAACTTTGTCTATGAAATATAGTTATAGGGATATAGGAACATTTAAAATAGACAATTGACCTATGATTTTTTTTTATTAATGTGAAATGTTTTTTTTTGTTTTTTTTTAAACAAGCTTTGGAGCTTTTGTTTTGAACATAATATTACTAATTTAAGGTACAATAATATATGGATTATAATTACTGTCAAAAAGTATTGATTTATAAGCTAGTAGAACATTTAAAGTTGGAATTAAATCCAAATTAAAAGAGTATGATAGATTTAATAGACTTTTTAATGTGTGCAGTGCTTCTGTGCGCATTATTTTGAAGGAAAAAGGTTTTTCTTGTAAAAACCTAAAAAAAAGTGTGTATGTGTGTGTATATATATATATATGTATTTCTTGCTGAATATTCTGTATAAAATATAATTATGAAGTTGTGCACAATGCGACAATGTGAAATGCATTGCAAACAAAATTTTAGAAAATATAATAGGTTAAATTCAAGCTCTATTCACATGGAAAATAATTTTCAAAAAATAAAATAATAATGCAAAAACAGGAATGAACCTAAAATAGAAATATATGGGGTAAGCTGAAATATGTGTTTAAGTTGTTTTTATGTATGTGTAGGAGCCCAAGCTAGCGTTTGAAGGAGTGGATGCCACAGAGCTCTACCCCTGTGTTCTTTTCTACAGCAGCAACCCAGGAGAAAAGGTCAGCCTCTTAAACCTCTACACCACTTTTGTTTGTTAAATTTTAACTTTATAATTGTATAATATATTATATTTCAAAACCCTCCTGTTCTTCGACTGGCATGTAGGTGGCGCTATGTGACCTGCAGATGCGTGGCATTCCTAGCAATCTTCTGCCAGGGGAGCCCTTGTGCAGCCCAAGGGCCACAGTTCTGCTGGAATCCACCATTCAGCTGCTAAGACAACTGTACGTGAACGATGACTGGGTTCAACATATCAACCAGCACATGCTGAACAAACTACAGCTCATCAACCCTCTCATGAGAGAGGGACAAGGCAAGATAGGTCAGTTAACTTAACTGAGGTCTGCTAAAATATACATATTATATGTGACCCTGGAGCACAAAACCAGTCTTAAGTCGCTGGGGTATATTTGTAGCAATAGCCAAAAATACATTGTATGGGTCAAAATTATTGAATTTTCTTTTATGCCAAAAATCATTAGGATATTAAGTTCCATGAAGATATTTTGTGAATTTCCTAGCATAAATATATCAAAACTTAATTTTTGATTAGTATTATGCATTGCTATGAATTTCATTTGGACAACTTTAAAGGCGATTTTCTCAATAATTTTTTGCACCCCCAGTTTCCAGATTTTCAAATAGTTGTATCTCGGCCAAATATTGCCCTATCCTAACAAACCATACATCAATGGAAAGCTTATTCAGCTTTCAGATGCTATATAAATCTAAATTTCAAAAAATTATGACTGGTTTTGTGGTCCAGGGTCACATTTTATTTAACTATATTTTACATTAGATACATTTAACCGATTAAACAGTAAAGTTGCGTTTCTTCAGAATCCAGCTCCGCTCTATGATTTGGCCATGTTGGCTCTGGATTCAGAGGAGAGTGGATGGACGGAGGAGGACGGTCCAAAAGAAGGACTGGCCCAGTATATCGTGGATTTTCTGAAGCAGAAAGCAGTAATGCTGGAAGAGTACTTTTCTCTGGAAATAGATGAAGTGAGTGACACATACTAAACTTACATCAGTATAACTGATTTACAATAAGCTCAAAATGCTTTTTATTTGACCTCAGGTTGTTCCTAGATATAAATGCTAAAATCCTCTTTATATAACCATGGTTAAACAAATCACTTGGACTATTGTTTTTACAAAACAGAAGCATTTCCTTACAGGAAGGGAACCTGACTGGTCTGCCAATGCTGCTTGATAATTACACTCCTGCTATGGAGGGACTTCCCATGTTCATTCTGCGTTTAGCCACAGAGGTCAGCATTTCACTGAATTGTAGTTTATTGGCTTTTGTATATAGTGGGCATGAGTTCAAACAAAATCCAGATGCAACTAAATGACTGATGGATGATGCAGGTGAACTGGGATCGAGAGAAGGAGTGTTTTCATGACTTCGGCATAGAATGCAGTCACTTCTATTCCATAAGGAAACAATACACACTGGAGCCGGATGCAGAAGAGCCACAGGTAGTTCAAATGCTACACACAAAAATCAGACAATTTTGGGTAGCAAATATATATTGCACAGACTGCAGAAAAATATAACCGTATACTTCTCTGAACATGATGCATTCAGCTGTTTTGTGGTTTGTCAATGATCTTTGATTAGTAGGAAAATCAACTGAAACCCAAGAGTTTATGAATTTCATTTGGACAACTTTAAAGGCGATTTTCTCAATAATTTTTTGCACCCCCAGTTTCCAGATTTTCAAATAGTTGTATCTCGGCCAAATATTGCCCTATCCTAACAAACCATACATCAATGGAAAGCTTATTCAGCTTTCAGATGCTATATAAATCTAAATTTCAAAAAATTATGACTGGTTTTGTGGTCCAGGGTCACATATATAGTCTATATATTTGTGTGGCATCATTGCAATGAATCATTTTGGAAATGTTTTAGACCTTGCAGGGCTCGACAGTGCGACCATTTCAGTCGCATTTGCGACTGAAAACTACTGCGTGCGACTATGAAATTTATTTTAGGAGCCCCAGTGCGACTGACCCAATCATCATCATACTTGTGATTGCGCTCAGGGAAGCTTCAAAGCTTTCTACGTGTTTTTGCAGCGTCGAGTAATGTATCAGACATATCTCACCAATCCTTCATAAGCAAAGTGTAGACAGGGTGTAAATAAGAGATTCATCACACAGTGTAGAGAGCTTCGTTGATTATAAATGTGAGCTCGCGATGAACTAAGATGATGAGTGACAGCTTTGAATGATTTTTAAGGGAGTTTGTAAATGTGATAACTGATTTAATACAATACAATTCAATAAACAAGAAGTTAATTTTAAGTTACTTACATTGTCTGACTATAACACTATTGTCTGATTTTGCTCTATTTCGTTGTATTTCGAAATATTTCGAAAATAGTTTAAAAACAAAGTCACAGCTCAGCCGCTGCGCATCTCCATTCAAACACAGCGGTGTTTCGTTTATGAACGAACAGTTTTTTTAAACGAATCTAGTGAGTAAGTGATTCATGATTACCCATTCATAAAGACAGTCACTCTTGAATGAATAAGCCGTTCGAATGAATCAATTGAATGAATGATTCAGTGATAAAAATCAGTGACTTGCCGCCACCTGCTGGCAGTTTTAGTTTCATTTTTAAAGTATCTTTTCAGTTATTTAAATCATTTAATATTTCTATATTCAAAATTTTATATTTAAAACATTAATATCATCATGGATTTATGGATTTAATTGCACTCATCCTAACAAACCATACATCAATGGAAAGCTTATTCAGCTTTCAGATGCTATATAAATCTAAATTTCAAAAAATTATGACTGGTTTTGTGGTCCAGGGTCACATATATAGTCTATATATTTGTGTGGCATCATTGCAATGAATCATTTTGGAAATGTTTTAGACCTTGCAGGGCTCGACAGTGCGACCATTTCAGTCGCATTTGCGACTGAAAACTACTGCGTGCGACTATGAAATTTATTTTAGGAGCCCCAGTGCGACTGACCCAATCATCATCATACTTGTGATTGCGCTCAGGGAAGCTTCAAAGCTTTCTACGTGTTTTTGCAGCGTCGAGTAATGTATCAGACATATCTCACCAATCCTTCATAAGCAAAGTGTAGACAGGGTGTAAATAAGAGATTCATCACACAGTGTAGAGAGCTTCGTTGATTATAAATGTGAGCTCGCGATGAACTAAGATGATGAGTGACAGCTTTGAATGATTTTTAAGGGAGTTTGTAAATGTGATAACTGATTTAATACAATACAATTCAATAAACAAGAAGTTAATTTTAAGTTACTTACATTGTCTGACTATAACACTATTGTCTGATGTTGCTCTATTTCGTTGTATTTCGAAATATTTCGAAAATAGTTTAAAAACAAAGTCACAGCTCAGCCGCTGCGCATCTCCATTCAAACACAGCGGTGTTTCGTTTATGAACGTATGAACGAATTAAACGAATCTAGTGAGTCAGTGATTCATGATTACCCATTCATAAAGACAGTCGCTCTTGAATGAATCAATGAATCAGATGAATCAATTGAATGAATGATTCAGTGATAAAAATCAGTGACTTGCCGCCACCTGCTGGCAGTTTTAGTTTCATTTTTAAAGTATCTTTTCAGTTATTTAAATCATTTAATATTTCTATATTCAAAATTTTATATTTAAAACATTAATATCATCATGGATTTAATTGCACTCATTCCACTTCTGAACCTCATTAAATGTCTGAAAGTACATCAAACAACACTTTTGTGTTCTTCTGTGCCACCTCTACAAATTATTTTTGTTAATACTGATTTCATTTGATTTTTAACTTGTTTCTTATTCTACTCTTATTCTGTTGTTAAGCTTATAAAATATAATTTAAGAATTTGACAAAAGATGACATACTTTTAATAAAGTTAGAGGAGTCAAATATTACCTCGTAATGGGAAGGCTACTTTTTGATAACATTTTGGATTATTGATTAGAAGGTGCTCCTAAAATTTTGAACGTGCTCCTAAATTTTTTAAGAGAAAAGAAAGAAAGCAAGCGTCGAGCCCTGTACAGATTTGGTGCAACATGTGAGTGAGCAAATAATGACAGAATTATACTCTAACTGGACACCTGTTTGTACACATGTTCATGTACACCCCCTACCCATCTAACTGGGCATCTGTTTGTACATCTGTTTATCCACCCCACCGATCCAAAGGAATTTTTGACCATTCTCTTATTGTTTGGGAATGTGTTTTTGAAGCGGGGGCATTGAAACTGTTCAAAAACTATGTGGTTTAAACTTTAAAATTGTGAAACGTTGTATCGGTTACATACATTTGAAGAAAAACATGTAGCGTATACAATATGAGCAATTAATGACTGTGTTTTCCAGAAAACAGTAAAAACAAGTCAAGACGAGCATTTTCTTGTTAAACGATTTTAGGAAAGGGTGAAACCACTAAAATAATTTTACAAAAAACTGTAAAATATCTAAAACAAACAAAAAAAATGTATCAGACACGTTCAATAAACAATACTGTCATGTAACACTTGGGAAGGAGTGAGGAGACGCAGGAAAATTCTTCAAATATGGAATTTAATCATCGACGGGCAAACACAGGAACTATGAAGACATTTAAACACAAGGGGAACTTCAGAAACACATGGATTGACGTTTAACAGCAGACAAAGAAACTAGGATTGGGAACACTATTTAAACACATGACTTGATGAGGGGAAGACCTGGAACTAATGACACAATGAACATTGAAAACACCTGCGAACAATACAAACTAAACGGGGACAGGAACTTGGACCAGAACGTCTTGAAATTGTGTAGTTTTGAAAAAAAAAAAAAAGGGTAGCTTTTATGATAAGAAATATGATTTATGGATTTAATTGCACTCATTCCACTTCTGAACCTCATTAAATGTCTGAAAGTACATCAAACAACACGTTTGTGTTCTTCTGTGCCACCTCTACAAATTATTTTTGTTAATACTGATTTCATTTGATTTTTAACTTGTTTCTTATTCTACTCTTATTCTGTTGTTAAGCTTATAAAATATAATTTAAGAATTTGACAAAAGATGACATACTTTTAATAAAGTTAGAGGAGTCAAATATTACCTCGTAATGGGAAGGCTACTTTTTGATAACATTTTGGATTATTGATTAGAAGGTGCTCCTAAAATTTTGAACGTGCTCCTAAATTTTTTAAGTTAGGAGCACAAGTGCTCCTAAAAAGAAAAGTAAGCGTCGAGCCCTGCCTTGTCTGTTAGCTTTACTATGCTATAGAAACGCTACAATAGATAAAAGCTAGAAATAAAAACTAGGTGTTTAAAGGGCTCATATGATGCTGCTAAAAAGAACATTATTTTGTGTATTTGCTGTAATGAAATGTGTTTATGCGGTTTAAGGTTTAAAAAACACATTATTTTCCACATACTGTACCTTATTGTTTCTCCTCTATGCCCCGCCTTTCTGAAACGCATAGATTTTTACAAAGCTCATCGGTCTGAAAAGCGAGGTGTGCTCTGATTGGCCGAATTCCTCAAGCGTGTGACGGAAATGTTA